CTCTTGCCTCATTTTTTCTGTTTTTAGTAGATAGAAGGTCTCACTTTTTGCTCAGGCTGATCTTGAACCTGTGAGCTCAAGCTATCCACCCACCTCGGCCTCCCAGAGTGCTAGGATTACAGGACTGTTCCCTTTTCTAAACCAACCCCTTTCCAGAAAAATCTTCCCAGTTTCCAGAATTGGCTTTCTGTTTCCCTACCCATGATTTTCAACATGCGGCTAAGCCTGGGCGCTGATGGATCCTTTGTTTCCTCTTCTCTTCCTCCTAGAACCCTGAAATCCATCTGTTTTCCAGGGTAGCTTTTCACACTGGGCTATCTGTGTTTCACTCTTTTCATGATTTCCTTATGGAATGAGATTTAGACAGTGGCTGTGGTTTCTGGCTCCTTGTCTCCCATCCTTTTTTGTTGTTAAGCCCAGACATCTTACATCTGAGTTCTCTCTTTTCCTGTGGATCTCACTCCTAGCTCAGAATTGTTCCTCTGAAGGGAGAGCAGGGGAAGAGGCATCAGGAAAGAAGAGGTGGGAAGCTGTTGCTGGCAGTCCTTCCCTCACACTCTGGCTACCAACAATAACCAGGCTAGTAAAACTGCCCCTCCCAGGACTGCACCCAGGCTTTGACCACAGCAGCCAGAGCCCCAACTTGGCTCTGCTAATCAAGCTGTGCTGCCTCCCCTTTCTAGCAACCCCTGCCAACTCACTCTACCACCCACCAGCTCTCTGTCATCTGTACAGCCAGCCCCTGTTACCAAAAACCTTTCATTTGCCTATCCCTGTGTGCCAGGTACATTGATCTGGTTCTGGAAGAAGACTGAAGACACAGCAGTCAGGAACTCCAGGGTGGTAAAGTAATGACAGGGGAGAATACTTTCTATTTCAACTTCATGAAATAATCCAGTAGTTTAAGATATGGGTGATATATAATTTGGGCTCCATGTGCAAAAAGAGATAGAATCACACACAATCTGAGTAGCTTCAGAGAAAAACAATCAAAATCATTAGCAAGTAGAAAATGGGTCTCTTGGTTCTGTGCCTGTAGCTCAAGCAGCTAAGGCACCAGCCACATA